CATCTGTTATTTTTTGACTTTTTAATAGTAGCCATTCTGACTAGTGTGAAATGCTATATCATTGTGGTTTTGATTTACATTTCTCTAATGATCAGTGATGTTGAGCTGTTTTTCATATGATTTTTGGTCACATGTATGTCTCCTTTTAAAAAGTGTCTGTTCATGTCCTTTGCCCACTTTTTAAAATGGGATTGCTTGTTTTTTTTTATATAAATTTGTTTAAGTTCCTCATAGATGCTGGATATTAGACCTTTGTCAGGCGCACTGTTTGCACATCTTTTTCCCCATTCTGCAAATTGTTTGTTCTCTCTGTTGGTAGTTTCCTTTGCTGTGCAGAAGCTCTTTAGTTCAATTGTATCCCATTTGTCAATTGTTGCTTTTGTTGCTATTGCTTTTAGTGTCTTCATCATGAAATCTTTGCCTGTTCCTACGTCCAGAATGATATTGGCTAGGTTGTCTTCCAGAGTTTTTATAGTTTTGGGTTCTACATTTAAGTCTTTAATCCACTGAGTTAATTTTTTTTTTTAGAGGCAGGGTCTCACTATGTTGCCCAGGCTGATCTTGAATGATCCTTCCACTATAACTGCAAAGTGTTGGGGTTATAGGCATGAACCACCATGCCTGGACTTAAGTTCACTTTTGTATATGATTTAAGGAAGGGGTCCAGTTTCAATCTTCTGCAAATTGCGCCATTATCCCAGCACCATTTATTGAATAGGGAATTCTTCCCTCATTGCTTGTTTCTGCCAGGTTTGTCAAAGATCAGAGAGTTGTAGGTGTGTGGCTTTATTTCTGGGTTCTCTATTATGTTCCATTGGTCTAATCTGTTTTACTACCAGTACTGTGCTCTTCTGGTTACTGTAGTCCTGTAGCATAGTTTGAAGTCAGGTAGCATGATGCCTCCAATTTTGTTCTTTTTGCTAAGTATTACCTTGACTATTTGGGCTCCTTCTTGATTCCATATGAATTTTAAAATAGTTGTTTCTAGTTCTGTGAAAAATGTCAATAGTATTTCAATAGGAATAGCATTTAATCTATAAATTGCTTTAGGCAGTGTGTTCATTTAACAATATTGATTCTTCCTATCCATGAGCATGGAATGTTTTTCCATTTGTTTGTGTCATTTCTGATTTATTTGAGCAGTGTTTTGCAGTTCTCCTTGTGAGGTCTTTCACCTCCCTGGTTAGCTGTATTCCTTCCATATTTGTGTGTGTGTGTGTGTGTGTGTGTGTGTGTGTTAGAGAGAGAGAGAGAGAGAGAGAGAGAGAGAGAGAGAGAGTTGTGAATGGGATTGGGTTCCTGATTTGGCTCTCAGCTTGAATGTTGTTGGTGTATAGGAATGTTAGTGATTTCTGCACATCAATTTTGTATCTTGAGACTTTACTGAAGTCTCAAGATGTTTATCAGCATAAGGAGCTTTTGGGCTGAAACTGTGGGTTTTCTAGTTATAGGATCATGTCGCCTACAAACAGGGATAGTTTGACTTTCTCTCTATTTGGATGCCCTTTATTTCTTTCTCTTGCCTGACTGCCATGGCCAGAACTTTCAATACTATGTTGAATAGGAGTGAGAGAGGGCATCTTTGTCATGTGCTGCAAACCTATTTTTTAAATGGACAAAATACTTGAACAAGCACTTCCCTAAAAAGATATATGTGAGGCTGGGCATGGTGGCTCATGTCTCTAATCTCAGCACTTTGGAAGGCCAAGGCAAGTGGATTGCTTGAGCCCAGGAGTTCAAGACCAGCTGGGCAACATGGCAAAACCTGGTCTCTACAAAAAATACAAAAATTAGCTAAGCATGGTGGTATATGCCTGCAGTCCCAGCTACTTAAGAGGCTGAGGTGGGAGGATTGCTTGAGCCCAGAAGGTTGAGGCAGCAGCAAGCCATGATCATACCTCTGTACTCCAGCCTCAGTGACAGAGCAAGACCCTGTACCAAAAAAGAAAAGATATGTGAGTGGCTTGTAAGCACATGAACACTAGCTTAACATCATTAGTCATCAGGAAAATGCAACTTACCACCACAGTGAGATATCATTTTCCACCAAATGGAATGGCTAAAATTAAGAAGTCTGACAACACAAAATGTTGGCAACAATCTAGAGCAATTGGAACTCTCATATATTACTGGCAGGGCCTAAAATTGTACAATCAACTTAGAAAGCTATTTGATTATTTCTTAAAACATTAAGCACATACCTACCAGCAATTCCACTTTTAGGTATTTAAGCAAAAGAATGAAAAACATTGCCATGCAGTGTCTCATGCCTGTAATCCCAGCACTTGAGGAGGCCAAGGTAAGTGGATCACCTGAGGACAGGAGTTCAAGACCATTCTGGCCAACATGGTAAAACCTTGTCTCTACTAAAAAATACAAAAATTAGCCGGGCATGGTGGCACACACTGTAATCCCAGCTACTTGGGAGGCTGAGGCAGGACAATGGCTTGAATCCAGGAGGCAGAGGTTGCAGTGAGCCGAGATGGTGCCACTGCACTCTAGCCTGGGCAACAGAGTGAGACTCCATCTCAAAAAAGAAAGAAAGAAAGAAATGAAAAACATTATATCCACAAAAATCCTTGGACAGGTTTCTTTCTAGCAGCTTTATTTAGAATAGTCCAGAAGCATAAACCACCCAAATGTCTATCAGTGGAGAAATGGTTAAACAAATTGCAGTGCATTAATGTAACGGAATACTACACAGCAGCAAAAAGAATGAATCGCTGACATACACAACAACATGGATGAGGCCCAAAGACATGAGGGGAGCAACATAACCTGAAAATAAAAGAATGCAGACCGCGATTCAGTTTGTACGACACTTCAGCTCAAGCAAAAGTGATCTGTGGAAATCAAAGCTTGGCTGCAAGGGAAGTTTTTGGGTAATGAAAATATTCCGTATTTTGATTGAGATATTGGTTTCATAGTTTGTTTTTTTTTTTTTTTTGTACACAAATGCTTATAGCAGCATTGTTTATTATAACCAAAAAAGTAGAGACAACCCAGTTGTTCATCAACTGGTGAATAAATAAACAAGATATATGTTCATATGATGGAATATAGTTTAGCAATTACAGTTGGCCCTTGAACAATGAGAAGGTTAGGTTCACTGACCCCCATGCAGTCAAAAAGTTACACGTAACTTTTGCCTCCCCCCTCATAGTTTTATCTATTTGTTAAAACACACTGAATTGTACACTTATAGTGAATCTGTGCACTCGCTATATCTAAATTTTACTTGAAGAAAACATTAAAAATAATAATAAACTGAGCCCTAGCCTGAGAGAAAGTTCAGCCCCTCCCCAGGGATTCACCGGGAGCACTTACCTGGTGATGCCACCTGTCACTCTTGCCCTAGGCTGCTTTTCCAGTTTCTCTGGCCTTCTCCTAACCATTGGGTTGGTTTCAGACCCAGAGCTCAGACCTAGGCATCCCTGCTACATTGTTCCTTAAAGGTGGCTATGTTTCACACACCTTCGAAAGGCTTGAGGATAACTAAGAGAATCAGAATGCAGAGAAAGAAAACTTCTCTCTTTTAATATGTGTAGGTTTCTGTTTTGGTTTTTGAGACAGAGTTTCACTCTTATTGCCCAGACCGGAGTGGAATGGTGCAATCTCAGCTCACTGCAACCTCCACCTCCCAGGTTCAAGTGATTCTCCTGCCTCAGCCTCCTGAGTAGCTGGGACTACAGGCACGCACCACCATACCTGGCTAATTTTTTGTATTTTTAGTAGAGATGGGTTTCACCATATTGGCCAGGCTGGTCTTGAACTCCTGACTTCAGGCAGGAGATCCCCCTGCCTCTGCCTCCCGAAGTGCTGGGATTACAGGCATGCACCACTGCCCCTGGCCCATAATTAGTTCTTTATGTAACTCTTACTATGCACCAAACAGTGTTTTAAGTACTTTATAGAGATTGACTCTATTAATCCTTATGGAAAAGGTAGCCTTATTAACCTTACGCTATAGAGGAGGAAGCTCAGGCCCAGGGAGTTTAAAGACCTCACCAAGGCCCCGTATTGAGTGAGTTGCAGAGCTGGAATTTGGAGCGGGGTGGTCTGGCTCTCCCACCATCCTCTTGGCCACCTTCCTATGCTGCTTCTAGCATCCTGCTTTTCCTTTCAGGGGTCCCCATTGTCTCTCTCATACTTAACCCCCAAGCCTGGGCCTTCTCACCTCTGCCAAGCAGAGTGCTCCTTTTCATAGCCTTTTCTCACAGCCCAAGACCCTCACCCCGACCTCTGGGGCTCTGGCCTGATGTTCTTTTGTCAGGGGAAGCAGATGCCATTCATACCTGGCAGTCTCTACAGAGAGGCTCACCATGTGGCATTCCTTTACATTGTCAAACAAGATAAACACTTAACATCCCAATCTAAACCAATCACACTCGAAATTCTCAGTTGGTTCAAAAGGTCAGAATTAAGGAAGGGAGCTCTGGTCTCCTCCTGTAAAGACATCTGTCAGCATCTTATCCAGAATGTAGAAACTCTTGCAGCTTTAAACTAGCATTTCCTTGTTCACGCTACATATATCGAGGCCTATTTATAATACCCCTATTTGTACTTGGGATGCCAGTAAAAGTTGTGACCATGCTTTGAAAAATGCAGAACACTGTATTAAGGTGAAGCGTTGTTTTTATATATGCAGAGAGAGCTGCAAAATTAAGACCATAGAGATCTCTTTTTTTGGAGTCCCCAGAGATCCCATATCAGTAACTCTAAGCTCTCAGTCATTCTGACAGTTGGTCATCATTTATTAAGAACCCACTAAAACAGATATTAGATGGTTCCTGCTAAATACTGATTATATCCTAAGCGTAATAATACACTTCTTATATGGCAAGTTGCTTTTTGAAAGTCAGGTAAGATGTTTCTCACTCCCACTAACTGCTATCAGAGAGGTCCCTCCTCCCAGGCAGAGTGGCTGGCACGTTATCAGAGTGGTAGTGTCATTCCCAGCCCTAGGATTGTTTGTGATTGTGGCATCCCTGTCTTCAAAGGATCAAAATGTCCCTCAAGGAGGGAAGTGACCCGCAACCTCCACTGGACTCTTTGTTGAAGGAGAACGCATCCGAAATCCAGCATCTACAGGAGGACTGGCAAAGCCAGAAGGCCAAACTGCAAGCCCAGGTAGGACAGCCCTAGTGGGGATGCCCCTTTCCTGAGATCTTGCCTTCTCCTTTTTACAAACTTGGAAATGCATTCAGGGCCTCATTCACATCCAAGCTAAGAAGGCATTACAAGACCAGGGCAAAATGAGATTCCTGGTTTTATTTATTCATTCATTCAAAACCTGCTGCAGCTGGGCATGGTGACTTACGCCTGTAATCCCAGCACTTTGGGAAACCAATGGGGGGGCAGATCACTGGAGGTAAGGAGTTAGAGACCAGCCTGGCTAACATGGTAAAACCGCGTCTCTACTAAAAATACAAAAATTAGCTGGGTGTGATGGCGCATGCCTGTAATCCCAGCTACTCGGGAGGCTGAGGCAGGAGAATCACTTAAACCTGGGAGGCAGAGGTTGCAGTGAGCCAAGATCACGCCACTGTGCTCTAGCCTGGGTGACTGTGTCTCAAAAAAAAAAAAAAAAAAAAAACCCTGCTGTGCTAATGAGCACTTACTATGAGCCATTGATGATTCATCAGTGCAGAAGCCAGACAAAATACCTTACATTTTATGGCCAGGTGTGGTGGTTCACACCTGTAATCCCAGCACTTTGGGAGGCCTAGGCAGGAGAAACGCTTGAGCTTAGGAGTTCAAGACCAACCAGGGCAACATAGCAAGACTCCATCTCTAGAAAAAATAAAAAAAATTACCAAGTGTTGTGGCATGTGTCTACTCCCAGCTACTCGGGGGGCTGAGGTAGGAGGGTTGCTTGAGCTCAGGAGTTTGAGGCTGCCTTGAGCGGTGATCATACCACTGCACTCCAGACTGGGCAACAAAGTGAGATCCTATCTCCAAAAAAAAGATATCATATTTTATATATAAAGAATATGTATATTTTGGCCAGGCATGATGGCTCATGCCTGTAATCCCAACACTTTGGAAGGCTGAGGTGGGCAGGTCACGAGCTCAGGAGTTTGAGACCAGCCTGGTCAATGTGGTGAAACCTGTGTCCACTAAAAATACAAAAATTAGCTGGGTGTGGTGGCACATGCCTGTAGTCCCAACTACTTGGGAGGCTGGGGCAGAAGAATCACTTGAACTCAGGAGGTGGAGGTTGCAGTGAGCTGAGATCACACCACTGCACTCCAGTCTGGGCAACAAAGCAAGATCCTGTCTCATATTTTATATGCAAAGAATATATACATTTTGTCTGGGTGTGGTAGCTCACGCCTATAATCCCAGCACTTTGGGAGGCTGAAGAGGGCAGATCACGAGTTCAGGAGTTTGAGACCAGCCTGGCCAATATAGTAAAATCGCGTCTCCACTAAAAATACAAAAATTAGCGGGGCTTGATGGTGTGTGCCGGCATGTGCCTGTAGTCCTACCTACTCTGGAGGCTGAGGCAGAAGAATCATTTGAACCTGGGGGGCCAGAGGTTGCTGTGAGCCAAGATCATACTACTGCACTCCAGGCTGGTGAGATTCCGTGTCACAAGAAGAATATGTATATTTTAGTAACAGAGGTAGAAACAGACAGGTAAATGGTCAGCATAAGAAGTCAGTAAATCACGTAGTTGATTCTAAGGTAATGATGACTCAAGAAAAAGAAAAGCTGAGTGTGGTAGCTCATGCCTGAAATCCCAGCACTTTGGGAGGCCAAGGCGGGAGAATCATTTGAGGTCAAGGGTTTGAGACCAATCTGGCCAACATGGTGAAACCCTGTCTCTACTAAAAATACAAAAAATTAGCTGGGCATGGTGGCGCGTGCCTGTAATCCCAGCTACTCAGGAGGCTGAGGCAGGAGAATCACTTGAACCTAGGAGGCAGAGGTTGCAGTGAGCTGAGATTGCACCACTGACTCTAGCCTGAGCCACCGAGTGAGATTCCATCTCAAAAAAAAAAAAAAAGAAACAAAGAAAGAAAAGAAAACTAAAGCAGGGTAGAGGGCTCTGGGAGGCTGCCCTGTGACAGGGGACAGGGGTAGAGGGGGTAGTACTACAGGACGCTGTCAGGAGGAGGAAGCCAGATTCGAGCAAGCACCTGAAGGAGGAGGGGGGCTGCCACGTGGTTCCCTGGAGAGTATTCCAGTCCTCTCTTGATTTCTCTTGGAAGGTCAGTGTGCCTACCCCTCTTTTCCTCTTTCCTGGCATTTGTGGCTCTAGCTGAGGGATCCCTGGGAGGACTGGCCACCCTCAGGTCCTTAAAACTTGCAGCTTCCATCCCCTGAGTCCCTACAGACAGAGGAGGCTCAGCTGCATGGAGGTGACATATAGAAAGCTTTCATTAAAAAAAAAAAAAAAATCCCAGGAAAGGCCCAGGGCTCAGGCTGAGGGCAGCACACCTGGTGTGCAGGTCTCGCAGATGCAGCAGGCTCTGGAGCAGTGCACCAGCAACTACAGGGAGGACCTGCAGGCGCTCAAGCAGCTCTCGGACCTCGAGAGGGAGAAGCTGCAGCGTAAGCTCCAGGAGAGCACTCAGCAGAACCAGGCCGTGAAAGCCCAACTCGAGGCTTCCCACCAGAGAGCCCTGCGCATGCTGGAGAAGTCCAGACATCAGGAACTCAAGGTGAGGGGATGACTGTGCGATCTACTCTGCTGGGCACCCGCTAGGTGGGTACAGCCATGCACAAAGCTGTCCCTTTTCTACATGACCTCCATCCCCCCCAAGAATCTTTCCCAGTCGTTATTATTGTATTCTCTTTTTCCAGATGAGGAAAGAGGCTCAGAGAGATTTTGTAACTTGCTCAGGGTCACACAGCTCATAAGTGGCAAAGCAAGGAAGTGGACTAGGTCTGCTGGGCTTCTTGTGCTACGTTCCCCGCCTGCTTGTGACCTTGGTGACATAAGAACGATTTGCTTTCATGACAAAAAAAAAAGTAAAAAATAAATAAAAGTACAAAAATTAGCCAGGCATGGTGGCAAGTGCCTGTAATCCCAGCTACTTGGGATGCTGAGGCACGAGAATCACTTGAACCTGGAAGTGGAGGTTGCAGTGAGCTGAGATTGTGCCATTGCATTCTAGCCTGGGAGACAGAGCAAGACTGTGTCTCAAAAACAAAACAAAACAAAACAGCTCAGCCACAAAGACCTTTCAACCTTTCCAAGGGTTTGGAAAACTGTGGCATGGTATACAACAGTGGATAACCTGGCAGGTGGTTCAGGTGCGTTTCATCCAGAACCTTCTACCTTGTGGCCTGGCCTAAACATTGTTTTCTCAGAGGGTGTTCCCTTCTTAAGCAGTTATTTGAAGAGGTGTCCCACAAAAACAAGGGAGCAAACCAAGGAAGAGGGAATAAAAGAGAGCTGGGATACTGAGGTTCAATGCAGAAGCAAGAAGGAAGGTTTGAGGAGGCTGGCTTAGCCGCTGGCCAATAGCTCAGTCCAGGCTGCAGCAAGGAATGAGGGCTCTGGAAGACCTGTCTCCCGGGGAAAGCAGAACTGATGGATTCTCTGATAGATTTGGCCATGTGGAAAATGGCACTGAGTGTTGTACAAAGCATTTAGAAGTTGGAAGACTTTGCCAGATAGCCAAAGGAAACTAAACAAATAAAAAATGCGGCAGTTACTTTTGGAGGCCGAGGCAGGTGAATCACGAGGTCACAAGATCAAGACCATCCTAGTCAACATGGTGAAACCCCATCTCTACTAAAAATACAAAAAATTAGCTGGGCATGGTGGCGCGTGCCTGTAATCCCAGCTACTCAGGAGGCTGAGGCGGGAGAATTGCCTGAACCCAGGAAGCGGTTGTGGTGAGCCGAGATCGTGCCATTGCACTCCAGCCTGGGTAACAAGAGCAATACTCCATCTCAAAAAAAAAAAAAAAATGCTGCAGTTATTAAAGCAAGAAAAACAAAAAGTTGCACAAGGCAGAAATTCAATCATAGTAACTTTTTAAGCTCAATGGTGCATAATATTTACATATTCTCTATAAAGAAAATATGAGGTGTACTTCAACATATTAAAAAAGCAATATAGAGCCGGGCGCAGGGGCTCACACCTGTAATCCCAGCACTTTGGGAGACTGAGGTGGACGGTCATGAGGTCAGGAGTTCGAGACCAGCCTGACCAACATGGAGAAACCCTGCCTTTACTAAAAATACAAAAAATTAGCTGGGCATGGTTGCACATGCCTGTAATTTCAGTTACTCGGAAGGCTGAGGCAGGAGAATTGCTTGAACCCAGGAGGCAGAGGTTGTGGAAAGCCAAGATCGCGCCATTGCACTCCAGCCTGGGCAACAAGAGCAAAACTCTGTCTCAAAAAAAAAAAAAAACAACACAACTATGTATAAGGAATGGAAGAGGTAGAGTGTATGAGACCTAAAATCCTCCTCTACTATAATGGGAAGACAATTCATAATCTCAAAAATAAGATACAGTAGAATGGAAACACTGTCTTTTTAATGCTGGTAAATACCACAAGAAACGAGGAGTTGACAACAGCTGCCTCCAGAGAACAGGAGACAGAGAGGGAGGAAGAAAGAACTTATTTTCCTTTCTTTTAATACTATTTGGCTCTTTACTACGTGCACATATTACCCTGATAACAATATAAAAGCAGCTTTAAAAAAAAGAAAGAAAGTTGAGCAAGGTGGCTCATGCCCGTAATCCCAGCATTATGGGAGGGCCAAGGTGAGCAGACCACTTGGGGCCAGGCTTGTTCAAGACCAGCTCGGCCAACATGGTCAAACCCCATCTCTACTAAAAATACAAAAGTTAGCTGGGCATCGTGAGGCACATCTGTAATCCTATCTACTCAGAAGGCTGAAGCAGGAGAATCGCTTAAACCTGGGAGGCAGAGATTGCAGTGAGCTGAGATCACACCATTGCACTCCAGCCTGAACAACACGGCGAGACTCCATCTCAAATCAAAACAAACAAAGAAAGAAAGGAAATAATATACATGGACTGCCTGGCACTTACTAGATGCTTAAAAAAAAAAAAAAGTCAAGTCAGTTTTCTCATTTCTTTTGTTCTTCTAAGTCTTTTTCCACTTTGGCTTACAATCTGCAAGAGCTCAGGCCGGGGAGATCCCAGGTGTATTCACTGCTGGGTGACACTGACCTTCGTGTATGCCTGAGCTTTATTCCTCCATGCTGCGGACCCCAATTTCTCACAGGAGGCAGAGAGAGCAGGAGGCTTCATTCACCTGAGGCGGGGAGTTCCAGGTGCTCTAGGGAGTTGGATCCATGAGGTCTGAGTCCTCGCCAAGGGCAAGTGAAAGGACACTCTGCCCCAGTTCCTGTGTCAGTAATTATGAGTGGGCTGCCTGGGTTCGAGTCCTGGATCTGCCATTTACAAAGTATGGGAGCTCAGGTCATTTAGCTTCTTTATGCCTCAGTATCCTCATTTATAAAATGATTGATGGTTATGAAGATCAAAAGGGATAATACATGTAAAGTACTTAGAACAGTTCATGGCTGAGTAACAGCTCAGTTTTTAAAAGGCTCATTTTTATTATTCACTCATCTATACTGCTGGCATTTATTGAGTGGCTATTGTGAGCTGCCATCATGCAGAGCTGCGGAGATACCAGATGATTACCACACTCTCTGTCCTTACATAGCTCGCCTATAGGGGAAAAGACAGCCCCTCAAACAGGTTGCTGGGATCAGTGGGTGGTAGCCATGAGGGAGTTGCCTAAGGTATTTGGAAGCACTGGGAATAGAAACATTATATAATATGAGACTTTTGGAGAAACAAGGTGAAACTGGGTCCCTTAGGAGGCCCCAAACTGGCCACAACAAGAGCAGGGTAACCCTCCCAAAGTAGCTGGAGAAATTCACTAAGAATGAGTCCCCAGCTTGCCCTGAGCCCTGGGTGCTCCAGCCTGTGTAATTCTCACTGCCAAAGGCTTCTGAGCAAGTGGGTGGGCGGTACTGACCTGAATCTTTGGTTGCCCCCTGGGATGGAGAGAGGCTGAATAAGAGTGAGAAAGTTTGCAAAGCCCAGGCTTCAAGCTCTCCATCCCCGTTTTCCTAGGGATAAAAATGTCACCAATTGGTGTTCTCTGAGCCTTGCAACAAGGGGAGGAGGAGGAAGGTATCAGAGTATTTGAAAAGTATGAGGCTTTTCTATTTTATTAAATAAACTTGCAACCAGGCATGGTGGCTCACGCCTGTAATCGCAGTACTTCAGGAAGTCAAGGCAGGAGGACCATGTGAGGCCAGGAGTTTGAGGTTAGCCTGGGCAACATAGGGAGACCCAAGTTCTACAGAAAATTAGCCAGGTGTAGTGGTGAGCATCTGTGGTCTCAGCTACTTAAGAGGCTGGGGTGGGGGGATCACTTGGGCCTGAGAGATCAAGGCTGCAGGGAGCTGTGATCGCACCACTGCACTCCAGCTGGGCAACAGCATGAAACCCTGTCTCAAAAAAAGAAAAGAAAAAGAAACTTGCCACAGAATGACTGACTCTCACCTGGGAGGAGTGAGACCAGTTCCCTATGGCTATCCGCAGTGACAGGTGACAGAGACAGGCTGAGGCAAGCTTCCACGTAACCCACTGGGTTCAGGAGGCCAACTCGGGTGCAAAGATGGTTGAGTTCTTCCCTTACAGGAGCCTCATGTATTTGGTGAAATCCCAGAGGAAATTTGATGAAATTTCCACTGCATGAGTGAATGGAAAGGGCTTGGGCCCTGGACTCCACCACTCATAGGTCAGAATCCTGCCTCTATCATCACCTGTCTACAGGCAGGTCTCCCACCTTTCTAGCCACAGTTTCCAGCTCAGTTAAAAAAAGATGGCAGCAGGGATGGGTGCCTGAGTGTGATGGCTCATGCCTGTAATCCCAATACTTCAGGAGGCCAAGGCAGGAGGATTTCTTGAGCTCAGGAGTTTGAGATTAGTCTGGGCAACATAGCGAGACCCTCCCTCTATATAAAAAAAGAGTTAAAAAAAGATGAAGGGATAATAATTTCTCTATCTTTTCTGTGCCACCCTGGGAAACCAAATTCATCTCTCCAATGCCCACCTCTCATTTCCTCATCTAAAATCTGGGGCTATGTATTAACTGAAACTCTCCTAACTGTGGGGAGGTGGGGACCCAGAAACTGTATCAGTTTCCTATTACTGCTGTAACAAATTAGCGCAAGCTTGGTGGTTTAGAACAACACGGATTTATTATCTGATAGTTCTGGAGGTTAGAAATCTAAGAATCATGGAATTAGCAGGGCTGGTTCCTTCTAAAGGCTCCAGGGGAGTATCTGTGCCTTTGCCTTTTCCGACTTCTAGAGGCCGCCTGAGTTCCTTGGCTCCTGGTCCCTTCCTGCATTATCAAAGCCAAAAATGTAGCATCTTCAAATCGCGTGCTCTCTCTCCCTCTCTCTCTCTCTCCCTCTTTCTCTCTTTCTGACCTCTGCTTCCACCATCAACCCTTTTCTCACCGACCCTCCTACAGCCCTCTTATAAAGACCCTTGTGACTGAGGCCCACCCAGATAATTCAGGGTAATCTCCCGTCTAAGATCCTTAATCACCTCTGCAAAGTCCCTTTGACCATGTGAGGTGACATACTCAGTTTTCAGGGATTCAGACATGGACATCTTAGGGGCTGTTTTTGTACCTCTCAGAGAAACCAACTTGAGTGACATTAGGTAGGCAGTGAAGAGACACTTATTAAAGTTTACACAGCTGCTCACAGAACCTGCTTTGGGTATTTGACACGCAGTGGGACTTCAGTCAATGAATGTTGAGGGAAAGCATGAATGAATCAAAAATAAAAAATAGGGAAAGAAAGAATGAGTGAATATGAACCCAAGGACAGAGACACAGCTAGTTCTCAGGACCAAACAAGAGCTGTAGGGACCCTCCCTCCTCCCCATGGCATTTCTGCTCTGCTCTGCACACCAGCCCTGGGCTGCCTGCACAGACGGCTGCCTCCACCCTACTGGTCCTGGGGCAGATGTCAGATATTACCTCAGAGCTCCCGAGTACAGTAAATTTGGAGCCACAGAGTATCTGTCCATCTCTTTTGCTCTCTCTATCCCCCACCTCTTCATACCAAAAGGAGCTCTGATTGGCCCAGCTTGGAACGGGTGTCCGCTCTGGCCCAATCAGCTGTGGAAGAGGGTGGGTTCAAAGGTGCAAAATGGCTACTGTGGCCGGGCCATTGTACAGCGTTCTCTGTAGCCTGATAAGCCCTCCATGGGAGAATGCAAGCATTCAGACCACCCTGGCTCAGAAGAGCTTGGCAAAGGAGTCAGGTCTCCCAACCCTGTGACTACTTGTCCCCACATGCCTCCTTGTCCACACTGTTTCCCACAGGCCACAGAGGAACGCTTGAAGAAGGAATCCAGCCACAGCCTCCAGATCCAACACCAGGCGCACCGGCTGGAGCTCCAGGCCTTGGAGGAAAAGGCCAGGCAAGAGCTGCAGGAGGAGCGTGAGAGGATGCAGGCCCAGCAGGCCCTGCTGCTAGGTATACACCAACAATGCACTGGGGAGGGCCCGGCCATCTTCAGGGTCTGCACGTAGAAACCAGTGACAAGCTGAGGGCCAGGATCCAGGGGTCTCGGGCCCACAGGCCGGAGCTCCAGGGCTCTCGGGCGCACAGGCCGGAGCTCCAGGGGTCTCGGGTGCACAGGCCGGGGCTCCAGGGCTCTCGGGCGCACAGGCCGGAGCTCCAGGGGTCTCGGGTGCACAGGCCGGGGCTCCAGGGCTCTCGGGCGCACAGGCCGGGGCCCCAAGGCTCTCGAGCACACAGGTCAGGGACGGTCCTGGCTCTGCCATCAACTAGCTGTGAGAACTGGGATGGCTCCCTGTGAGCCTCATTTTCCATTTTTATAAAATGGAATTACAATCGTCCCTACCTCATAGGCTCACTATGTGGATTAAATGAGATATTAAATATGAAGTGCCTCGCATATAACATGAGCCCAGTGAATGTAGATACTGTCATTATCATCATCATTATTGCATATAATCCAGATTTCTGAGCCTTCATATGAGTTTCATGGCATTGCCTCAACCTCTCATTTCTGTTTTGAAGATTTCTGCAAACTGAGGGCTCTGAGGCCTCCACATGCTGCTTTCTCTGACTGCCCCCACATCTTTCCCAGCACAAAACTCTGCCATTTTTCAGTTGCCACATCAATAAAACCACTCACACCAAGCATCTTGGAAGTTAATAGAGGCCGTTAAGATCCCTAGAGCCAAACTGCCTGGGTGTCAAGCGCAGCTCTGACATTCACTAGCTGTGTGTCTTTGGGTAGGGGGTTGCTTAACTGCGCTGTGCCTCAGTCTCCCATCTACAAAATGAGGATAATAATAGCATTCACCTCATTGGGCTGTAATGACAATTACATGAGTATACACAAGAAGCGCTTCGCATACAGCCTGGTATGCAGTAAGTGCTGTGCAAGTGTTCCCCGTTAAATGATGACTGAAGAGTTCAGCGCTGCGTGCCTGACTCTGGAGACCTCTCTCCATTTTTGTAGATCATTCCTGCCACTCATTTTCTCCTTCACTCTCATCTTTCCTGTCACTCTTAAGAGCAAGACAAATGCCTCTCATCATTTCATGCAGAGCACTAAAGATCATGTTGCCTTTATTAAATATTTCTTCCAAACCTAGACAGGGCTCTCCTTAAGAGATTTCTGGGTGCTGAGTGTGGTGACTCATGCCTGTAGTCCCAGCACTTTGGGAGGCCAAGGTGAGAGAGGATGACTTGAGGCCAGTAGTTTGAGACCAGCCTGGGCAACATAGCAAGACCCCATCTCTATAAAGAAAATTAATTAGAAAAAAAAGTAAAAAGAGAATTCTGGAGGAGAGCATTGTCTTTACATCCCTAAATGAGTAGGCTCTATCTTGCTGCTTGGTTGAGTTCCCATTAGAAAGTGTGTCCCACTGACTACATGTTTTTGAGGAAGTGGTGTGAGGAGCAGGAAGGAAAGAGTTTTGTAGACTTTCCAGTTAGCAGCTACCCTGGAATGGAGGTGTCCACATGGGGAATGCTGGAGTTAGCAGCACGTAAAGATAAAACACAGGCTGTGCCGCATGGCTCAGGTCCAAGGCTCCCCATGTACAGGTCAGGCTGGACATCCTGGTGATTCCAACACTCAACAGCAGCTGCCAGTGCAGATGTCCCTGCTGCCCCTTCCCTGGCTTTTCTGACTCCACAGCAGCCCTGTTCTGCCCTGAAGAAAATAATCGGGAGGCCAGCTGCAGTGGCTCACACCTGTAATCCCAGCACTTTGGGAGGCTGAGGCAGGTGGATCATGAGGTCAGGAGTCCACGACAAGCCTGACCAACATGGTGAAACCCCGTCTCTACTAAAATGCAAAAATTAGCCGGGTATGTGCCTGTAGTCCCAGCTACTCGGGAGGCTGAGACAGGAGAATTGCTTGAATCTGGGAGGCAGAGGTTGCAGTGAGCTGAGTTCATGCCACTGCACTTTAGCCTGGCTGACAGACTGAGACTCTTGTTTCATAAATAAATAAATAAATAAATAAATAAATAAATAAATAAATAAAGCGAGATCCCTGGAAAGAGCCTTGGGAAAGGCTGGGCTTCTCAGTACCAGTCCCGGGAAGAAGGGGCTTTGTGGACTCTGTGATGACAGCAAATCATAGACTTCAAGGGAAGGTGCGAGCACCTATGGCAATGGCAAATTGATATGACATAATCCTGGTGCTGATTATTCCTCTTCTAATATCTGCGTGAGACACAACTGACCTGTAATACTATAGGTCACTGTGAGAGGGCAGGGAGGACAGGTGTTTACTAGAGGGTTGGGTCCCTGACATGCTGGATGGATAGATGAACAGATGGATGGAGGATGAATGGGTGCGTGGGTAGACAGGTGAATGCGTGTGTGGTTAGATGAGTGGCTGGGTTGACAGGTGGACAGACAGAAAAATGGGTGGATGGATGGACAGGAGGAAGGATGGATAGAGGGATGGAAAGATGGAGATGGATGGATGGACAGATGGGTGGGTGGACAAATGGGTGGACACACTGATAGGTAGATGATTGGGTGGGCAATTGATGGGTGGATAGATGAATGGATGGACAGAAGGGTACACAGATAGGTGGGCAGACAGGTAGGTGGATGGCTGGCTGGCTGGATAGACAGGTGGATGGATGGATGAGTGAATGGATGGATGGATGGTGAATGGGTGGATGGATAGATAAGTGGATGGGTGAATGAATGGGCAAGTGGATAGAGGGATAGATGGGTCAGTGGAGATGAATAGGTGGATGGATAGATGAATGATGGGAAGGTGCGAGAGAAGGAGGAGGGTAAAGAATGAATACCCTATAACTTATTATTTGCTAAAGAGTTTTATTACATATATCTTGTGATCACAGTTTTCAAAAAATGGGGTTATGTTTAGAGATTTAAAAAAAAGGAAAATAAGCTATAGAAATCACTTTATCAAAATTTTACTGGAGAGAAAAGACGACCAAGTAAATTTTCTATCTTAATATCATGCAAATATACTAAGCTTTCACATGTGTTTAATGTAGTTAACCTTTGTATTAGTTAGCTTATAGGAAAGCTTTCATAACTAATACACTTTTACCACATCATCCATTTTCACTCCAAAGATCATTTGTTTATTTTACAAATACATGTTGAGCACTTGCTCTGTACTAAAACCTGTGCTAGGTGCTTATGGAGTGAGCAGAACAATGTTTCAAAGGTTATTTGCAATAACTAAAATACAGAGTCTCAAAAGTTCTTAACAGAAAAGTAAAGTATCAAATTTACAAGCACTTTGAAAGTATCTTTTTTTTTTAAGGGAATAGCTTACTAAATAGCATCTGCTCTATCAGAAAATACTCATTTTGAAATAATTGTTTCCATCATGCTGGGAATGTCTAGTGTACTACTGGAAATCAGTCTCCATCCTCACAGGGGAAGCTAGAGTTTCTGGCCTTACTCTCCCCTGAGTTTAAGAGAATGCACACACTTCTCCTGGGTGATTCCATTTTAGTCCCTTTCCTGCTGGGACGACATGCCATCTCCTACCTCCATGATCTAGCCCAGACCTCCCACCCAGGGGAAGAAGAACGTGTGAACATTTTGTCTCCTTAAGAGCTGACATTGGCCGGGGATAGTGGCTCACACCTGTAACAGCACTTTGGAAGGCCAGCGTGGGCAGATCATTTGTCAGGAGTTCAAGATTAGTCTGGCCAAAATAGTGAAACCTCATCTCTACTAAAAAAATATATATAAAAATTAGTCGGGTGTGTTGATGCGCTCCTGGCCCAGCTACTCAAGAGGCTGAGGCAGGAGAATCGCTTGAACCTGGGAGGGGGAGGCCACAGTGAGCGAAGATTGTGCCACTGCACTCCAGCCTGTGTGACAGAGTGAGACTCCATCTCAAAAAAAAAAGAGAGTTGACATAAATTTCAAATTTTCCAAGTTGAGACCATCACCCCCAGAAGAGGCCTTCGGCTCATTTGATAATTCCCTGTTCTTTGCCTGGTCTCCTAATTTGATGCTGAGGTCAAGCATTGCCACAGGATTTGGCCCTGGGCTCAGGCCATTCTGCCCTCACCTGCCACCCATCCTAACCAACCAGTAGTGGACAAGCAGGGGATTCAGAGTGAAGACCCACTTGAAATTTCGCATCCCAGCTCCATCATTTAAAAGCTGTGTGGTTTTGGGGATTGTACTCACCCTGTCTCATCCTAAAATGGAGCAGGGGTGGGGAGGGGGTATAATTGATACCAGAAAGGATGGTGGTGGGGCTTTAATGAGAAGAGTTTTCATACATAGCCTTGTGGTTACTGTTATCTGGAAAAACATTTAGGGAACTCAACCCACCACAAGCCTTCAGCAGCCACCCACTCCACCCACCCCTGCTCCAGAGACTGTTGTCCCCATGAGACAGGCTTCAGCCTAGACCCAGCTCCTGACTCCCACTGCTCTCCCTCTTCCAGAGTCCCTCAGGCAGGAGCTGTCAGAGCAGCAAGCTGCCTGCTCTGGGCACCAGAAGGACTTGGAGGCGCTGCAGGCTGAGCTGAGGGCTCTGGGCCGACATCAAGCCAGCAGCCAGTGTCCAGGGGACAGCGAGGACCACACCATCGCCACAGAGGTCAGCACCCCTGCCATTGCTCTTGCCCCAGCCACACCCTTCCCAGAGCAGCATCAGGGCCGCAGTGAGAAGCCTCATAAAAGACGGGATCTGAGGCCGAGTGCAGTGATTCACACTTGGAATCTAGCACTTTGGAAGGCAAAGTCAGAGGACCTCTTGAGGCCAGGATTTCAAGAGCAGCCAGGGCAACATAGCCTAGACTCTATCTTTACAAAAATTTTAAAATTAGCCAGGCGTGGTGGCATATGCCTATAATCCTGGCTCAGGAGGCTGAGGCGGGAGGATCACTTGAGCCTAGGAGTTCCAGGGTGTAGTGAGCTATGATTGTACCACCTCACTCCAGCCTGGGCAACACAGCAAGACCCTGTCTCAAAAAAAAAAAAAAAAAAAGAATGGACTCTGGGTACTTGGTCAGTCCCCTGCCCCCTGCCTGAAGTGGGGAAGATCCTTCTCCACAGGCCTGAGGGATACTGCAGGTTCTCGTCAAGCAAAAAAAAGGTTTTAAGTGCTGCATGTTCTTTATAAATGAGATGCAATGGCATTTCAGGGTGTTGGTGCTAGACAGGCCCTCAGCGCAGCTGCTCTGGGCTACTCCTTTGGGTCTGCAGGGGAATTTCTCAGACCATCTCCCAGATAGGCTCCGTCTAGACCTTGCTGTTCCCCTAAGTGGAGCAGCCTTGTTGTCACCCAGGCTCAGTGCTGACCCTCCTTCCACTTCCTGCTCAGACTTTGCCCATCAGCCCCTTCCCTGCACATCCATCATTCCTGGTGTCGCTGGGTGGCACAGTCACCTCGTAACAGCCCAGCCCTCGCTCCCTCCAGCCCATGGTGTACGGCTTCAGGTCTTCCCCCAAAACCCAGCACTACTTTTCATAAAGCCTTTGGTGGCTCCCACTGGACAAAGCTCCAAATGCTTCAACTTGGCATTGAAAAGCCTCCACCACTGACAATGACCTACAGGTCCTGCCATTTTCCCCGCAGTTCATAAACCCGGCATCTGCACCCTCCCTTTGTCCTCCCCCTGTCCATAAACCCAGCATCTGCACCCTCCCTTTGTCCTCCGCCTGTCCATAAACCCAGCATCTGCACCCTCCCTTTGTCCTCCACCTGTCCATAAAACAGCATCTGCACCCTCCCTTTGTCCTTCACCTGTGCAACTCCTCCTGCCTGGAATGCTGCATAGCGTATCCCATGCTGGGGCTTCCCTCACACACTGTGACTCCCTCTGGCTCTGAGATCCTGGAGCACTTCCTCCCAAGACAGCTCAGCTGGCTCTAGGATCTACTGCCTGGTCCTGTTGGGGACATGCCATTTCATGGATGTCCTTGTTGCCTAGACTGGATCAGGAGTCTTCTGAGGATAAGCCGTCTGTTGTGCCTCATCTCCTCCCCAGCCCACTCCTGGCTCTCAGCAGGGTCTCCACCAGTGTCTGTGGATGGTGAGGATTTGTTGGTGGCCCAGTCCTGCTGAAAGTCCTGGGGACATAGGAATCACGTGTGCCAGACTTAGCTGTTACTGAGCATAGGAAAGTGATTTCTGGGTTTATGTGAAAAATACTAACAAATGATGAATCACAGTTTAGCCCAGTGGTTAGGTCTAGCAGAGGGAAGACAGAACATGCTCCATTAACTGTTTAGATGAGTGGGAGCCTCTGGTACCAATGGAAGGGGACAGGGGAAATGTGGGATGGTAACAGCTGGGGCGTGGGCCATGGAGGGAGTCAGTGTTCATCTGAGGGCTCTGGATGGAAGCCAGGGAGCACTGAGTGCATGAGACGATACCTGGCCACCTGTGCCCCAGTCTCTCCTTTGCCCCAGAGGAGGGAAGCCCTGAGCCGTCTAGAAGGAAAGTGTGGTCTCAGGTGATACCCCACACAGAGCGCAGATGCAGGGGTGTCAGCAAAAATGAAGAGCCCGGGCAACAAGTCATAAAGGAAAGGGGAAGGAACACAATGCCAGGCTGAAGCCCCAAGCTGGCCACTGCTGAGCTAAGTGGAGTTCTGTCCTGCTGGGACCTAATTCTCATCTCTGCCACCCAGAGACCCAAGAGGGGAATGCATTTTTCCATTTGTTTCTGTCCCCCATTCGTCAAGGGTGGTCTCCACAGGGCAGTAACCCCCCTGCTCTTACTCTTCTAGGTTAGGCATGTGAGAGGGCCAAGAGGGTGCCCATAGGTGCCCCCACCATGCCAACCCCAGGGCAGGAAGGCAGAGACATGGAACCTGGGTCACAGATTCTCCCAGGGAACAGCTGTGCAATTATGGTGTGCAGCGAGCAAATACATTCACAAGCCATTGGGCATATTTGAGTTTGAAAACTGTAACATTCACTAGTCACAGATTAAATCTGACCCCATTTGCTGTTGGACAGCAATCTTTGTGTTTCTACCAGAACTACTGACATTCTAGAACAATTTTGTTTAGCAAGCATTCACGTGGCACCTATAGAATACACCATGCTAGGTGCTACACCGTTGGAAAGATGAAGCGAGGAATAGCTCCCAATCCAGCCAAGGAAACCAGCTTGAAAACATATTCTCTTCCGTGTCACCCCTTACAGAGCCAGAGCTGGCGAGATTTGGTGGTATCAGAGAAAGCTTATCAGTTCTCCCCTGAGAGGTGGGGAAGGCTTCACTGAGGCATTGTCACTTCACTGAACACTTAACTTCACTAAGGGACACGGAGGCAGGCAGGGCGGGCACCTCGGGTAGAGAGCACGGCAAGGGCCTGGGGCAGGTGGAGTGTGGTTGGTGTTCATTTGGATGCAAGCCCCATTCTTGGCTCAGAAGTTTTATTAAACTCTAAGGGCCAGATCTGGCCAACTCCCAAAGCAGGAAAAGTTTAAGAGACTGGATGGGAGTCCCAGCAAGGGGACCCAGGAACCTGTCTCGGGCTCCAGCCTAGGCGGGACACCCGTGGATCTCCGTCTCGCCGCAGCACAGCTCTGGCCCTTTGTGCCTCGTCCGCCCCTGCGCCTCCTGAAAACAGCTCTCCTGGTTGCCTTCTCAGGAACGGGGTGGCCCGGGTCAGGCCGGCTTCCCACCGGGCGCTGCTGGGCAGGGTCCGGGCGAGGGATGCAGGCTCTGGGAGGAGAACGCGCAGCTCCAGGACGCGGTGCGGCGGCTGCGTTCGGAGGTGGAGCAGCATCAGCAGGAGGCGCAGCAGCTCCGTGACCAGCGCAGGTCGGTGACCCCGCCCCCCACCAGCTTCCCTCCCCCCAACCCACAGCGACTTGCTGAGCCTAAGACTTGCAATGGGTCACTCCCTCCTGCACCGTGCCTTGCAAGACACTAGACACTTAATGCGCCAGCATCTCACAGATATTACGCCTCGAACTCATGAAAAGTCCCAGAGTGCCAGAAATTCTAGATCTCAAAACGGCAGAGGAAGTGACTTGAAATAGAAGAGGGAGTCCTGTTCCCTGCAAATCAGGGCATTTATGAGACCAAGAATTGGACCTAGAAGACACCAAAAGTGTCATCAAATCCAACCTTAGGGAGACAGTGTGGTGTCTTCTTAACTAGCTGTGTGCTCTTAGCTAGCTGTGTGAGGTTGGTGAGTCAGCTGACCTCTCCCAGACTGAGTCCTCTGTAAAATGGGGTAAGACTCCAGCCTTGGCTGGCGCGGTGGCTTACGCCTGTAATCCCAGTACTTTGGGAGGCCAAGGCAGGCAGATCACCTGAGGTCAGGAGTTCAAGACCAGCCTGGGCAATATAGTGAAACCCCATCTCCACTAAAAATACAAAAATTAGCCAAGCGTGGTGGTGTGCATCTGTAGTCCTGGCTACTTGGGAGGCTGGGGAGGGAGGATTGCTTGAGCCTGGGAGGTGGAGGTTGCAGTGAGTTGAGATGGTGCCACTGCACTCCAGCCTGGGCAAGAAGAGCAAAACTCTGTCTCAAAAAAAAAAAAAAAAGAAAAAGAAAAGGTTCAGGGAGGCTTTCCATTGCACTGTGTTGTTAGGGAAGGCTGGGCTCTGAACTTTGGTCAACGTTGGTAACTCTGCCTCTGATGCATGACCTTGGGTCAGTTTCTTGACCTCTCCATGCCTCACTGGCCCAGAGCATGAGAGGATAACAGGGCCAACACAGGGCTGTTGGGAGAACGGAAAGAGAGAACGTGTACAGGGTTTGGAACGATGCTTGGCACACAGCACTGATTCAAGAAATGTCTGTTGTCATGGTTCTCACACTTGAACTTGCATTAGAATCACCTGGGAGGGAGGGGTGTGGTGGCTCATGCCTGTAATCCCAGCACTTTGGGAGGCCGAGGCAGACTGCCTAAACTCAGGAGTTTGAGACCAGCCTGGGCAACATCTAAGAACCCCATCTACACTAAAAATACAAAAACAAAAAAAAACACCAGGTATGGGGTGTGTGCCTGCAGTCCCAGCTACTCAGGAGGCTGAGAGGGGAGGATCACTTGAGCCCAGAGGGTGGAGGCTGCAGTGAGCTGAGATCCTGCCACTGCCCTCCAGCCTAGGTGACAGAGCAAGACCCTGTCTCAAAAAAAGAAAAAAAAGAAAAAGAAAAAAGAATCACCTGGAAGTTTTGTTGAATACATTTCTGGGCTCTACCTTCGGCATTTCTGAATCACTAGAGCCAGGGTGCAGCCTGCAAACCAGGATTAATTAGATTGATTATCATTGGAATTAGGATTTGCGTTTCTAACAAATTCCCAGGAGATGCTGATGCAGTGTCACCAGGATGCTACTTTGAGTGCCACTGCCTTCTTATCTGTGAGTCCTTTACTTCACTCTTGCTGCAGTAAATGTCCAGACCAAGAGAGTTTTCCAGAGGCGCTGGAATTCTTCATAAATCCTCCTTTTTTAGGCAGAAGCACTCGCTGAGATAAACCAGGGTGTCCTGGAGGCCTGAGGTAGTGCTGGGCACATGGATTCCCAGCCAGAGGTGCCCCTCATGGGAGCTTTGTTAAAAGTCCACACTCTGGAGCCACCCCAGTTGCAGGAGGTCTGAGAGAGACCTGGATGTGGAAAGGAGGTCCCAGCAGGGGCCTGGATGTGGAAAGGGCCACCCCAGTTGCAGGAGGTGTGAGGATGGGAAATCTGGATGTAGAACGAGGCTCCAGGAGACTAGAATGCCCAGTGGAGATTGGGAGGAGAGCCACCAGCAGACAGGGGTTATTCTGAGTCCTACACTCACTGGTGAGGGACACTTCCCCCTGCCAGGGCCAGGTGGCTGTGAAAGAGCTCAGGCCCAAACTGGACTGGGGTCATGAGGCCTCCCTCCCCAAGCGAACAGCTGACCTGAGGCTCATCTGAGAGGCAGCCAGGAACCCACCTAGCCAAGGTGGAACAACTTAGTTTCAGTTAGTGACTCACCATGTGACCTTAGCAACTCCTTAGAATAAGGAGTTTGGATTAGCAACTCCTAACCATTTTACATTACAGCCCCCTCCAAGTGAGAAGAGCAATGGTCCCACTCCTGGGAAGGAATATATCACATAAAATTTGCTTGGACCGGGCCAGACATGGTGGCTCACACCTACAATCCTAGCACTTTGGGAGGCCGAGGTGGAAGAAACGCTTAAATTCAGGAGTTAGAGACCAACCTAGGCAACATAGCGAGACCTCACCTCTAACAACAAAAAAAGTGCTGGCCGGGTGCAGAGGCTCACACCTGTAATCCCAACACTTTGGGAGGCCAAGGCGAGTGGATCATCTGAGGTCAGGAGTTTGAGACCAGCATGGCCCAAAAGGTGAAACCCCATCTCTACTAAAGATACAAAAACTTGGTGGGGCGTGGTGGTGGGCACCTGTAATCCCAGCTATTCAGGAGGATGAGGCAGGAGAATTGGTTAAACCTGGGAGGTGGAAGTTGCAGTGAGCTGAGATCATGCCATTGCAGTCCAACCTGGGCAACAGAGTGAGACTCCATCTGAAAAAAAAAAAAAAAAGAAAAGAAAAGTGCCTGTACCCTCTGAGGGCAATAGACCCCTGAGGCTTTTCTATCGATTCCGCTTGTTTCTCACTAGTAAGAGAAATTATCACTAATGGTTGAGCATGTACTTTATGCCATGGACTGTTCTGGACATGTATTAACACAATTCCTCCTTGCAGTAATTCTGTAAGGTAGGTTCCACTGTCACCTGCATCTGACAGGAGGATGCAGCAGGGAGTAGCTTGCCCAGAGTCACACAGCTAGGAAGTGATGGGGAGGCTGTAGACACAGGCAGCCGGGAATGGGTGGGAGGGCTGAAACACTGCCATCCCACCCACTCCCACCCTCCTTTCCACCCTGGACTGGCGGCTCCCTGGGTCTCAGAGTCCAGCATTCAGGCGATACTGATAGAGAATCTCAGCCTCCCGCCTCCCCACTGGCCCCAAGTGAAGAGCATGTTTTCTGGGGCTCCCCTGCAGGGCTGTTCTCCATCACTTCTGCCTGAAGGCTGTCCTCATGCTCACGTTTCTCCTTCTGAGATGGGAGGGTACTGAGAAGGGGTCCCACAGTGGGGGTTTGTTCTGGACTCCACAACTCGGAGACCCTAGATGTCCTTCCCACAGGTATCCTCAGTTCACAACCTCTCCCCACCCAGCTCTCCTAAACTGGGCAGCAACGAGGGGAATAAACCCCAGAACCCAAGGGGCGCCATCCCCGGAGCTGGGCAAGCCTGGCTGTGCTTTCGTCCACCACAGGTTGCTGGAGGAGAATCAGCAAGCCCAGCGGGCCAGGGAGGTAGAGACACTCCGCCAGGAACACCGGAAGGAGATGCAGGCCATGGTGGCCGATTTCAGTAGTGCTCAGGCCCAGCTCCAGGCCCGGCTGGCAGCCCTGGAAGCCGAGTAAGTGAGACCTTGGGCCCCAGGGAGGGACTAGCAAATGTGCCATTTGGTAGGGTGCCAACTCACCCCAGTGGCCCTGGGCTTTCCTGGATTTCAAATGAAAAGTCCTGGGTTCTGGCTGGGCCCGATGGCTCACACCTGAAATCCCAGCACTTTGGGAGGCCGTGACAGGCGGATCACTTGAGCTAAGGAGTTGGAGACCAGCCTGACCAGCGTGGGGAAACCCCATCTCTACTGAAAACACAAAATTAGCCGGGTGTGATGGCACACGCCTGCAATTCCAGCTACTTGGGAGGCCAAGGCAGGAGGATCACTTGAGCCTGGGAGGTGGAGGTTTCAGTGAGCCAAGATTGGGCCATTGCACTCCAGCTTCAGCAACAGAGCAAGTTCGGGGGGGATGTGGGGGTGGGGAGGAACAAGCCAAGAGGTCATCATTCTCCCTTCATTTTATGAGGCTGTGTTCCCCTTTCCTGCAGGTCACTGGGAATCTGTGAGGATGAGCATTGGTTTAATACTCACACTTGGAAGAAATCAGAAGGATCAGGGCTGCTCAGTTATGAGCATTTTCTCTGTTCAGATAGTATCATCCCATTTAATCATCACAACAGTACTTGAGGGTAGAGTCGTTATTCCCACTGGTCCCTCATGCACACTTATTATATTTATTCATTCAACAAATATTTGTTAAGGACCCACCGTATGCACAGCACTGCTTTAGGCTCTAGAGTTACAGCGAAGAACAAAACAAAGAGTGTCCATAGGCTCACAAATTCTGCTGAGGACTCAGATAAGAAATAAGCAAACAGGCTGGGCTTGGTGGCTTATGCCTGTAATCCCAGAACTTTGCATGGCTGAGGCTTGAGCCCAGGGAGGATCCCTTGAGCCCAGGAGTTTGAGACCTGCCTGGGCAACGCTGCGAAACTCTCTCACAAAAAATAAAAAAATTTAAAAAATTAGCTGGGCATGGTGGTGTGTGCCTGTAGTCCCAGCTACTTGGGAGGCTGAGGTGGAAGGATCATCTAAGCCCAAGAGGTTGAGGTTGCAGTGATCCATGATTGCACCACTGTACTCCAGCCTGGGTTACAGAGAGAGAGAGACTCTGTCTCAAAACAAAACAAAATAGACCCTGTCTCAATAAAAAGAAAAAGCAAGCAGTTAAATTCATAACAGATGGTGAAAGTGCTAGAAGACAGGATTGGGAGTGGCAAGTGTGGGCAAAAGAAGGCCTCTTTGAGGAGGTGACATTTAAGTACAAGGAGGTGAGGGCACTCCTGAGCCATCTGGAGGAAGAACATTTGAAGCATATGCCACACCTGGTGCAAAGGCCCTGGGACTGCTTCACGTTCCTGAAAACAGCCCAAAGGCTTGTGTGGCTAAACAGAGTGAGAGGGAGGGTGGGAGGGAGGAAAGGAGCTGGGCAGAGGAACCCCTGCCCTGATGGGAAGGAATTTGGATGTGTTCAGAGTGCCCTGGGAAGCCATCGCAAGGCATTGGGCAGGAGTGACATGGTCTGACTGCTGAGAAGAAATGGGGAGGGGGTGACTGGCAGGAAGACCATTTAGGAGGTGATGGCTGCAAGCCAGGTCCTGACAGGCAAAGCCCCTTGCCCAAGGTCAGGGCATTAAGTGAATTTAAATGTCACCTGTCTGACCTTTCGCCTCAGCTCTTAAAAACTTCTCCACTGTCTCCAATACAAAACAAATCATCCAAAAGCCAGCAGGAAAGGTTTTACCAGCTACAGTCTACAGGGCACTTGCTATGTAAGCCAGGGGCCCATTATCACACGGAATTCTTACAACCACCCAGTTCCATGGCCAGTTTAAAGAGGAGGGAACCAAGGCCCACACACAGGTGAAATGATGCCCAACATCACATATCTAGAAAAAAGCAGAGCCAGTATTAGAGCCCGGTCATTTCACCCAAAGCCCTGGGCTCTTATCAACTCCTGTCAGTCAGTACGTCATCTGCAGCCCTAGCCCTGCTCGCCTCCCCACCCAGTTCCTTCCTGGCTTCACACTGAAAAAGCAAGCAGTGGTTACTGGCAACGGGCCGTGCTCCGTGTCCGCCAGCAGATGGCGCCAGAGCTTTAAGAGAACCTTCAGGCCTCGGGCGGAGTTGGGGGCATGTTCCTGCCCTGGGCTGTTCTCCCAGCAGCATCCCTGGTTCTTGAAGCCCCGCTGTGTGCAGCACTCTGTGCACACAGGGGACCTTTGGTTCCCGGCCCTGCAGCCTCAGGGGACCTGACAGAGCTGGGATTCTGGGTTCTGCCAGCCATCTCCCTGGGGGGCCCTAGCTAAGCCTCTGCTGCTATCTGGGCCTCCCCGGCCGGGCTGAACACAGGATGGCATTCCCGTCACGTGCACTTACTTGTTCTCCCGCCTTGTTGAGTAATTGCTCTAAGGGGGACCTGACTGCATGTCTGCTTGGAACAGACTGAAAGATTCTGGAGAGAAGCCAGGGAAGGGAGCGTCCAGGCCTGAGGACCTTCAGCTCATAGGCCGCCTGCAGACCCGGCTGAAGGAGAGAGAGGACATCATCAGGCAGCTCACGGTGAGGCAATCCGGGGAGGGGTGTTCACTTGCACTCAGCATTTCTCTAGGTGCCCTAACATCTTGCTTTATAAAGAATCCTTTCAGACCAGTCGTGGAGGCTCACACCTGTAATCCCAGCACTTTGGGAGGCTGAGAAAGGTGGATCACTTGAGGTTAGGAGTTTGAGAACAGCCTGGCCAACATGGTGAAACCTCGTCTCTACTAAAAATACAAAAATTAGCTGGGTGTGGTGGTGGGTGCCTGTAATCCCAGCTACTAGGGAGGCTGAGGCAGGAGAATCACTTGAACCCAGGAGCCAGAGGTTGCAGTGAGCCAACATCACACCACTGCTCTGGCCTGGGTGATAGTGCAAAATTCTGTCTCAAAGAAAAAAAAAAAACAAACAATCCTTTATTTTCTATTATTAAAGAAGACATACTCACTAAAAAATTAATACAGGAAAATAGAAGGAAAAAAATCATTTTACTCCCAAATCTAACAGCATTTGCCCTATGTTAATGTTTTGTTTTTTTTTTTTTTTAAACTTACAGAATTTGAGAAAATCTAGAATGGCTTAAGTTTGAATTTTAGTAGAATCAATAGATGTTTTTATTGTTCTTTTTGGTAAAAATGACCACTTGTTTTCTACTTAGCAAAGCTACTTTCTAGACCCCTTGAAAAGAACCCAAATCCCTCTGATTCAGTATCCACCCAAGGCCTGCTGGTCATTTCTTGGTAATGTCTCACCCTCCACCTGCTCCCACCCACCCACCTACCTTCTGTGTCTCCTGGTGCTTTGAAAATTAGGTGACACTGATAAGGAATTATTGCTCATTTGCTAAGTGTGAACAGGTATTGTGAGTTTTTAAAGTAATCCTTATTTCTGAGAAATACTATTTTTATAGAGAAAGTTATGTAATAACTGAAATTTAATACTAATATAGCAGGAGAGAAAAAAGTGGAAAATGACACTTGGCTATACAGTTATAATAGGTAAAGTGGGGGATGGATTTCATTACCCTCTCTATGTTTGTATATGTTAGAAAACACAAATGTAAACAAAAGACAGGAAGAAAGAAGGTGAAGTACTCTGCATACCTGGAGGTTTTCTTTCTTTGCCTTATTAACTTTCTGCAGTACGTTACCTTCACATGCTAAGAACAATTGGATTTCCGGTATCCTAAAGCATAACCTTGCCCTTTTCTTTACAAGAGGGGCTGGGGACATAAAAGATCAAGAGGAAATGTGCTTCCTCAAAGCTTCAGCGGCTGCCAGTTTGATTCTCGCTGCCTTCCCCTTCCTCCCCTGGACTTGACTTCTCTCTGCAGTCTGCCCTCACAGTCATCTTCCTTCAGGTCAAACCCAGTGCTGTGTGGTTAGGTTCACTTAGACTCAGTTGTATTGCTTTTTCAGGAAGAGAGAAGATTTCACTACACAGCATTCCCCAGTGCAATGTCCCACCGGAATCGATCTTTTTCTTTCAATCCTCACCCGGGATATTTGACTCCTTCCATGAAGGTAAATTGGTTCTACTGGTTTTAATGCATGATACAATTCTGTTGGTTTCATTTTTCTTAAAGGTAACCACAGGTTATTGATGGGCTGGTGTACGCTCAGAGAAATATTCATTGGAAAAAAACGACCCATGAGAAACAGCCCGAAGTACTAATAGTGTTTATATCTGGCTGGGCAGATTATGTGTGACTTTTATTTTTTATGGACTTTTGTATTTTCCAAACTTTTTAGAGTAAATATGTGTCAGTATTAAGAACAGCTCTACCTAGGTAATGGGAGGAAGAAGAAGAGTAAGAATCTTCCACTTCTTATTTCTGTACCTATTTTTGGAATTTTTCACATCCAATTCTCTTATCTGCTATCACAAAATCCTAAAGGCTCTTTGAAAATAGTATTTTTGGCCAGGTGTGATGGCTCACATCTGTAATCCCAGCACTCTGGGAGGCCGAGGTGGGTGGATTACTCAAGGTCAGTATTTCAAGACCAGCCTGGTCAATATGGTGAAACTCCATCTCCATTAAAAAATAGAAAAATTAGCTGGGTGTGGTGGTGGATACCTGTAATCCCAGCTACTCGGGAGGCTAAGGCAGGAGAATCCATTGAATCCAGGAGACCGGGGGAGGGGAGGGGCGGTGTGAAGGGAGCCGAGATCGCACCACTGAACTCCAGCCTGGGCTAGAGCGAGACTCCATCTTAAAAAAAACAGTATTTAAAAACATAGTTCACAGGACAATACACTTGTGACCTAACTAATGTGATCTCATTTGTAGTTTTTATGTAACCCTCAGTGTGAGCAAATGTAAGTTTCACTCCAGAAATGTGAATGCATTTGAGGCGAGGATGGGCCCAGCTCCTGCTGAGGGTCTTATATAACCTTCTAAAATCTTAAACAAGTTTAGTTGCACAACACATCCATCTCCAGAAGTTCTGGTTAAGAGACTGTGAACATACATATATCTTTATAATACAAAATGAAGATCAGAAGGAAAAGTGCTTTAAAAAATAGCATGTAAGTATATAAATAAAATTGTTGGTTCTTCAGTACAATTGTGATTGGGCAAGCATTATTTGCTTGTACAATAATGCTTGTTTTTTATGCATTGCGCTAACCTTTCCATTAATACAAACAGAAAAAGAAGCTGGAGGACGTGCCCAGCCGCGTGGTCAGCGTGCCGAACCTTGCCTCCTACGCAAAGAACTTTCTGAGTGGCGATCTGAGCTCCAGGATTAATGCCCCTCCGATAACTAAATCACCCAGCTTGGATCCAAGCCCCAGCTGTGGCCGGCCCTACAAACCCAACCAGTCTCTGGATGCAAAAACTGCCTCAAGGTTCCGGGAGTTGTTGGGGACAGAGGCCCTGATTCTATTTCCCCATAGATAAGAGGGAAATGAGGATTCTTTTTGGCACCTGCTAAGTACTTGGCATTTGGGTGATATAAAGAGTAGCAAAACAAGCCCTGCCTGAAAAATGACAATTTAGTCAAAAGGAAAGACTGTGTAAGAGAAGAGAATTATGTCATTTGGAAGGGGTACTATTCCTGGTACCAAATTCCAGAAGGCCCTTTTTCATGGATGATTAGACAAGGGACACTGAATCACTTAGCTGAAAACTTCAGAATGGGTTACACAAAAGGTAGACCCCATCTGGCCTGGAGGTCTGAATTCAAATCACACTCCTCCTCATTCTTAGCTGTGTGGCCTTGCACGGGTCACTTGACCTCTCCAGGTTACCATATCCTCGCCTCTAAAATGAAGACAATACAGCATCTATCTCATCAGACTAATGTGAGACCAAAGGCATTAATCCATAAGACATGCTTAGCACAGGACTTGGCACAGAAATCTTCAATATAGTTTCAGTATTATTACTAATATTATTCCTCAAGATTTACTGTGTCACCTTGAATTCTAAAGTATCTTAATCAGGCCGGGCTCGGTGGCTCACACCTGTAATCCCAGCACTCTGGGAGGCCAAGGTGGGTAGATCACCTAAGGTCAGATTTTTGAGACCAGCCTGGCCAACATGGCAAAACCCATATCGACAAAAACCACAAAAATTAGCTGGGTGTGGTGGTCTGTGCCTGTAATTCCAGCTAATTGGGAGGCTGAGGAACACTGATCACTTGAACCGAGGAGCCTGGAGGTTGCAGTGAGCCAAGACCATGCCACTGCACTCCAGCCTGGGCAACAGAGGGAGACTCTGTCTCAAAAAAATAAAAATGAAGTCCCTTAATCTTTAGGTTTGGTTAATCCTGTATAATTATCAGAGCTATAATCACTAAGTCTCGAAGGAACAACAGAGAAGCAAACAATGATGAATCTTCTGTTTTCAAAATGGGAATTAGACACTCCCTCCCCAGCCCCATCCATTTCAACTTGTTTCCCATTACTAATGTAGGCTGGTCCCATTCGGGTATTTTTGAAGGGTAAATAAGCAGTTACCTTTCTCTGAAAAGATGGTGGGTATTAAGTTGTTTATTGCATATTTAAACCATATAAAACATTTTCTTGTTTTTAGGACACCAAACGGTGAAACGGATCAACCCAAAGAAGGCCAGCAGAAACAGGGCTCTCCGCACCAGGAATGGTTTACCAAGTACTTTTCTTTCTAAGCTCATCTTTCAGATACATCACAAAGAGGATACCTGAAAAACATTTCTTTTAAATCATCTGATTGAAGGAATGAACTAAAACCAACCAACCAAATAATATGCTTGTAATATGATTTATATATGATAGCTAAAACAAATTTTGGCATTAACATTTCATACTGTTCTGCCAGGCACCGTGGCTAATGCCTGTAATCCCAGCACTTTGGGAGGCTGAGGCAGACAGATCACTTGAGTCCAGGAATTTGAGACCAGCCTGGGCAATATGGTGAAACCCCGTCTCTACAAAACATACAAAAATTAGCCAGGCATGGCGCATGTGCCTGTGGCCCCAGGTACTTGGGGGGCTGAGGTGAGAGGATTACTTGAACCTGGGAGGCAGAGGTTGCAGTGAGCCAAGGTCGAACTTCTGCACTCCAACCAAGCTGGGTGACAGAGGGAGACCCTGTCTCAAGAAACAGAAGAAGAAATCATATTCTTCCATGGTGATAGTTCATGATAAATATCTTGACATTAAACAAACCAGTGTTATTCAAAAGCATCTACAGGGAAATGTCATTAGCATTACTAATGACCTATATTGTATTTCTAGTGTCCATAACATCATACTCCATTTTGTGGAATATCAGACTTTGTGATTTCCATGATCTACTTTAAAAGTGGTTTACTTGTCCTTAGGATAGTCAACTTACTGATGAGGTTTTCTATGTAAAATGATACAATTCCAAAATGCACATCTAACCTCAATAAGAAGACGAATAAAAGTTCAAAATAAACAAGAAAGCCAACTAAAAAGAAAACAAACCAAACCTACCAGAAATGGATGGTAGCATGCTTGGATTGAGTATTTTCACTTGCTTGGTCTAAGACAAGCAGCAGAATATATATAGATGGGATAACACCTACCTCTAAAAGGGCTTTGAAAGGATTAAGCAAGATAATGTAAGTTAACATGAATTCGAAGTAAGCATCACAGGTTTTTCTGTAAATAACCAAGCCCAGCCCAGTTATAGGTCTCATTTTAATGACTGCAGTGTCAACCTGATCATTTGTGAAGGTCTCTAGACTATCTGTTCTTTGAAGTCAAAAATCTTCTAGACTGGGCACATGGCTCATGCCTGTAATCCCAACACCTTGGGAGGCCAAGATGGGAGGAGAACTTGAGGCCAGGAATTTGAGACCAGCCTGGGCAACACAGCAAGACCTCCATCTCTACAAAAAGAATTAGCCAGGCATTGTATGGGCGCCTGTCGTCCCAGCTACTTAGGAGGCTGAAGTAGGATAACAGTACGAGCCCAAGAGTTCGAGATCAGCCTGGGCAACACAGTGAGACCCCATCCCTACAGATAAAAACAAACAAACAAACTCCTGAACCTCTGGTCTTTGAGTTGGAGCCATTTGTCTCATGGTGTGTAGCTTCTTCACTGCATGGATTTCCAGTGGATTAAAGGAACTGGAATGCCTGTTTATGGTGCTGACATTGCTCTCAGTCCACAGTGACTTGTCTTACTTTCTGACGGTGCAATGTTATTTGACAAGACTCAATACAACTTTCAGGGGGCAAAATACTTTTCAGTCTTTGGTGCTGGCCCAGGAAGTGGCCCACAAACCAATGTTAATTCTATGCATTGTCAAATCTTTGCTCTTGTGAATAAAACTTTGAACAACTGGGCAATAAAAATGGTTGACTTGTATTGATTTTTTTATAGAAAAGTAAAATGAAGACAGCTTGGAAACAGAAAGTTCAGTTCCCATTAACCTCAATCACATAATCTTCAAAAAAACAAAGCTGATTACATATTATAACTGTCATGTTGAGAGAAAACCAAACTTAGGTATTAAAGGTAAATTTCCTGTCTAATCAAAACAAGGCCCCAATACATTTTTAAATGCAAATACTTGACACCATACATGTAACATGCCATATTGTTTTTCATTACCAAATATTTTTTCTTTTCTTAGGGTGTCTCAGCTGATTTAGGCTGCTATAACAAAATATCTTACTTATACTAGATAATTTATAAACAATAGAAATGTATCGCTCACAGTCCTAGAGGCTAAATCCAAGATCAAGGCACCAGCAGATTTGGAGTCTGGTGAGGGCCCATTCCTTAGAGATAGGTGCCTGCTATGTATTCTTATAAGGTGGAGGAGGCAAGAGATCATCCCTAAGCTTCTTTTGTAAGAGGGTGAAGCCTTTCATGAATGAGAAGGCTTTCACGAAGCCTTCTCCTTTTCATGAGGGTGAAGCCCTCATGAATCCACTGCTTCCCAAAAGCCCCACCTCTTAATACTATTACATTGACATTAGGTTCCAACCTACGAGTTTTGGGAGGGATACCAACATTCAGACCACAGCAGTGAACATTGTAGGACTGCTCTTTATTTTGTGTGTTCAAAAAGATTACATACAGGTGGTTCTATTTTTGTGTGTTGAAACATTTTCCCAACATAGTGTAATTCCTGATAACTAGCAAAGCAGGCTACACTTTGCATTTCTGTCCCTTAACTCAGCATAATCTCTGGGCAGGGAGAGAATTTTACTAATTGAGACCCTACATCTGTTTTGACTCCTTTCTTGTTGCAGATGACTAAAAAATCTTCTTAAATTTCTAAATTCTACCCTGCAGTGATTATATCTTTGTTAACAAAATCTTTGCATGCTTCTATAATTTTTTTCTTGAGGCCATGTGCCTTGGGTATTCAAGGAAGGCATTTAAGGACACAAACTGAAGCTGTTTGATTTAATCAAACTGCCATTCAGAAAGTTTCTAGCAATTTACACCATTACCAGCAGTAAATGAAACTGTCTGTGCTCTAACACTATTGACAAAAAATACAATTGGATAGATAAAACATTCTTCCTATTTTAGTTTGAATAATGATTCCATCAGTCTCTCAAGAGCAGAGTGGTCTAGAGATGACAGTGATGGTGTAAAGGTTACAGTGGAGATGGAGATAAATTACCCAATTCGGGATTAAGTTGGCAGAGAGAAACGGGATTTGATGGTCAATCTCTTCAGGCTGTATTATGACAGTGGAGAAGGTAACATGTTCCTGCAGTAAAACTGAAAGGAATACTCTCCGTTCCACATGAATGCAGTGTTCCGTAACTGGGGTAGGTAAGAATGGATTCGCCCAGTCAATGGCTGCATACCATGTACCTGAGCCCGTAACTGCTCTTACACTGATGTAATTCCCAACCCAGCAATTGTTATTGAGGTTATTTGGTTGACAATTTTTCTCCAGCATCCATCAGGATTCTGCAGATCAGGCTGACAAATTACATGGAACTATGATTGGGAACATCTTACTGGCATCTGTCAGATTTCCAAGGGTAGCACACTAATCTTCACCATCACCTCCCTTCCACCCCTAGGATACAGTATTGTTTGTTTTTGAGACGGAGTCTTGCTCTGTCGCTCAAGCTGGGGTGTAGTGGTGCGATCTCAGATCACTGCAACCTCCGCCTCCCGGTTTTAAGCGATTCTCCTGCCTCACCCTCCCATGTAGCTGGGATTACAGGCACCTGCCAGCATGCCCACCTAATTATATTTTTAGTAGAAACAGGGTTTCACCATGTTGGCCAGGCTGGTCACGAACTCCTGACCTCAAAGTGATCCGCCCACCTTAGCCTCCCAAAATGCTGGAATTACAGGCATGAGCCACCGTGTCTGGCCTCAGTATCGTTTTTGATTGACTATTCTACCAGGTCCTCAGAGATAGCCACAGAGGCCCAGGGTACTCAGTCACCTCATCGGTTTCCCACTATTCCCCTGCAGGGAACTGACACTCTACTGTCCTTTTGTGAAGTACTCCCCTTACCTCCCACAGGTTTGACTCCACACATTCCCCTCCCCGGGGATATTTTCCCAGAACACCACTGGTAGAATCCTCAGCAACTGGGCCACCCTCTTGTGCCAGTGACTATCCATACCTCACACACTGTTCTGGATGTGTTTTGTTGCCAGTTGGACAGTGAATGAGTCAGTCCCCAAGCTTCATCCTACTGCCTGCTCTCAGACCACATCCAGTCACAATTGTCTCAGTAGGGTCTTCCATGAGGCACACCCCAATTAGAAGTGCAAGACATTCGTTGGGGCTGTGAATGCCTTCAGCCAAATGCTACTAGAAACAACTGTATTTGAACAAGTTGGGTCTATGACTTGTTGCGGTGAGGGAGAACATTCATCACAGAGAACAGCAGGGCTTCTCAGAGGGTGTCAGAACCTCTTTTAGGATTTTGGCCTTGGTGAGGATTCATTCAGATTGGATGGTGTCAGAGTGAGGGCTAGTGTAGGATTGAGCATCTCAATACATCTTACCTATAGGAAGGTGGACTAGAGTAGGGATAAAAGCTGTTACTGCCCTTTTTTTTTTAAATAGCAGCTATTACTTTTTTTTTTTTTTAGAGAATATTAGTTTCTGTAATCAAACCCATGTAGATAAGACCTTACATATTTAATACAGTGTGTTACCCTTGTACAAATGGAAAAAAATTAAGTTCAATGTTTCTAGACCAATATGGCTGTTAATTTCTGTACAATGCCAACTCAACACAGTAAACTGGGATACTTTTTCCAAAGTTGACAGCACAGCTAAAGTTTCCAAAAAGTCAAATTATTATATATATATATATATATATATATACGTATGTGTATATATATATATATATATACGTATGTGTATATATATATGTATGTATGTATGTATATATGTATACGTATGTATACATATATATATATATTTGTATAAAAAGACCACTAATAGCCGTATGTTATGCATCAATAGCAGCAGCAGCTTTTCCAGGCTCTGCAGTCACCTGAACAAAATTATAGAGACGTCCAGCACACTCCATTTAAAAAAAAAAAGGGGGGGAAAGGTAAGAAACAAAACCCCAAAAATTGCAAAGTTCTGTTGCTGTTGTGGTACCTGGCACCATTTTTAGAAATTAGCTTCTGAATCATCATCTGGAAAGAAAACATTCTAGAATAACATCATTAAAAACAGCTCTGATAAAGCACAGTCACTACTACGCATCATAAAGCAGGTACAAGGTATTTTACATTCACAGAGGTATGAGACAGTACTGTCCTGTATCTGTAATACTAGAGGATACAACTAAAAAGGCATTATTTGAAAAATATGGAATGCTTCATGAATTTGCGCGTCATCCTTGCACGGGGGCGGTGCTAATCTTCTCAGTATCGTCCAGTTTTAGTATATGTGCTGCCGAAGCGAGCACGCTGTTACTCATTTTAACCAGGAGAAGGATGTTTGGTATTTTGTGAGTGGCAAACAGACCTTGAATTTTTTCTTTTATGTGCTTAGACATAATTATGAAGTGATTTATTTTCATGGCCTGAGAGCAACTTTGGAGTTGGTAGTCAGACTGTTTATGTCCAACAGGAGAATAACATGACCGAATAGTGTTGTCAGCTTCTGAATGTCCGGGACAGGTAGTTTTTTTTTCTCCTCAGGAGAAACATCTATGTTAGAGAAAGGGGAGAGGAGGAAACAGAAGACAAGGAAGAGCCTATGATGTAGGTTTGCTGGTGGGCCAAGGAACACTGGGGTAAAAGAAGGCAGGACGGCAAGACAGCTCCGAAGATGTCTTGGCCAGGCCGATGGGAATGCCAAGCAGACTGCTCAGTATTTTTTATTGTTTCTGAGACAGTCTCGCTCTGTTGTCCAGGCTGGAGTGCAATGGCTTGATCTCAGGTCACTGCAACCTCCACCTCTTGGGTTTAAGCGATTCTCCTGCCTCAGCTTCCTGAGTAGCTGGGATTATAGGCATCTGCCACCACGTCTGGTTAATTTTTGTATTTTTAGTAGAAACAGGTTTTCGCCATGTTGGCCAGGCTGGTTTCAAACTCCTAACCTCAAAGTGATCAGCCTGCCTCGGCCTCCCAAAGTTCTGGGATTACAGGCATGAGCCACCATGCCTGGCCTCAGACTGCTCATTAGAGGAGTCCTGTGTCGGGCAGAAATGGTCTAGCACCTGCACCTCCACTGCGCTTGGTGACAGCCATCATGGACTGGGTGAGAACATGGCAATAGGTCCCCAGTGGCAGGAGCTTGTGTAATTGAACTCCTTGAAGCTGCTTTCTTGAAGGGAGGACTGAGCAGCGCTCCTTCACAGCCTCACACTTGCTAACGTTCTGGCACCCTTGCTACTGACTTCCCATTCAACATCTCCTGTAGTCTGCAAAAATAGTAAGTCTTAGTCTTATCTCTAATTTACAGATTTATTATCTATCTATGAAAATGGGAACAACAATATTGATTCTGTTATAAGCCTTCTAGAAGATTCAGCGAGATCATTCAAGGAATGTGTGTGGCACAGATGTTTGTTTGGAAGTTGAAAGCCTGAAGCCTATGGGCAGACCAGAACCCACCCCTGGACAATGAGAGGAGTCTTTCTTCCAAGACATAATACTCTACTCCCTGGTACCAGGGCAGTGACTCAGCCAAGGGCATTTACAGTAATTGAGAAGGGAACTTCAGAGGATGGCTTGTGATTTTCTCCCTGAAAAAGTCAGCAGCTCAGAGAGTTTCTTAGAGGGTTATTCATCACCCAGCAAGACGTTTACAAACAGACAAGATTGAAAAATTGTTATTTATTTGGCAAAAAGCTTCTGAATTTAATAAAGAAATGGCAGTAACTGTTACATA